ATAATCCTTGCATTTGGTATAGCGCTTTTCACGTCAGGAGGATGTCCGAAAGCGCTTCACAGAACACACTGTAAAGTGAATTGACTGTATATTTGTGGGCAAACGCGGCAGCCAATTGCGCACAGCAATGTCCCACAAACAGTCGTAGATTGAAAATGGCCAATTTTATTATTGTTTTGTTTTGGAGGGATTATTATTAGGCGTGTGGAGTAAGGAAACTTGCCCAAGTTTTCGCCGTGATGAAGATTTAATTTGCGGAGAGGGTGAGATTGGGAATTGCCCATTGTCTGGAGCAAATCATAGAATCTTACAACACAGAAAGAGGCCATTCAGCCCATCATGCCTCTTTGAAAGCTAATCAATTAGTACCACTCCCCACGTACCCCATAGACAAGGTCCTACAAATTGTTCCTTTTCAAGTACAGAGAATATCTGCTAATGGGATAATTACCACTGGTGTTAATTGTGATATTTAATGTCACACGTTTTAACCCAGTAACAACATAGGAACAGCAGGAGGCCATTCAGCTAATCAAGACTATTCCACCATTGCATTAGACTACTGCAAAAATTTTAATTTCAATCACATTCTTATTACCCTTACTTCTCAAGAACATGTCAATTCCTCTCTTTCAATCAGTTCAATCAGCTTGTGGTCTTTGGTGTCTCAGGCATATACAATTGCCATACGTAAATAATGGTGTTTCATACAAAACATGAGATGCATTCATAACCTGTAGAAATGACATACATGTTTCATATACAATACAATTTACATTTATATAGCACCTTTCACAATGGGAGGATGTCTCAAAGTCCTTTACACAAATGGCTGGGCACTCGAGTCAGGTTATACAGTATATCCTATGCTGCATCTATGTCAGCATTATCTCCACTGCTTTGCATGCTTGAACATTCAGCTAGATTTGATCAAATAAAACATCTTCTCCATTGTTTTCTTTACTGGTTCAAGGAACTGCACAACAATAATAATATTAATAATAATCCTTGCATTTGATATAGTTCTGATCAAATCTTCTAGACATCTCAAAGCGCTTCACAGAATATACTGTAAAGTGAATTGACTGTATATGAAACGCGGAGACCAATTGCGCACAGCAGTGTCCCACAAACAGTTGTGGATTGAGTGACCAAATTATTATTGTTTATTTTTGAAGGATTATTATTCCCAGAAAAGTGATCCACCAATCGACTAACAACTGGGTTCATACTTACTGCTAGGTAAACAGAGGCGTGTGAAGTAAAGAAACTTGCCCAACAATTTGCTCTGCCAGGAATAGAACTCAGGTCTCTCGCTTGTGAGGTGAGTGCTCTAATCACTGAGCATTCAACTTGATGTCATTGTGGCGTCTACAGGACTCCACAATGAGGGGCAATTGAGAAAGTCAGGTTGTTGTGCAGATCTTTATTCACTTAGTAGCCATGCTATATCGTATTAAATACAAGATAATTCACTAACACAAGATGTAGCAATAATGCTGTTTAATGGGTTGAAAATGAAGTACTTTCTTCTAAATCTGCCATCAGTGACAACTAAGAATTTTTGCTGTGTTAATTGTTGCAGGACTGAATGAGCCCTGCCTTCAGCTGTAAAATAAGTGGCACTTTTTCCTCCAGTGCTTGTTAGCAGCCAGATGACAGGACAACAGATGCCATGCCCCCGCCCTCTCAACACCCATACATTTGGGGGCAGGGCCAGTGGCATTCTTAGCTGTGCCCAAAGCCTCTGGATAATATAAAATTTTAGCTGTGGTCAATGCATCTGAGTAATATGAAATATCAGTTGTTGAGAATGCAAAATTGTACATTTCTATTACTAACATACATTACTAAGCAGATTTCACATTGTGAACTCTCCTTTTGTTGTTTTTATGTATAATCGCTCTTTTGCATGATTACAAATTACAGTAGCACTTTGCAATTCTGTTTACACAAGCCCTTTTGTTTTAAAATTGACTGTTGGTCCACAGAGGGATGAGCAGAGTACACTATGGATGCTGTTTTCATGTTACTTTCCAGATTTCACAGCGGTGGAAGAGTTTTGCTGGTTTAGACACTTTTGGAAGAGGTACCCCGCAGGATTTATGGACCTCATTAGTTTTATTGATTGAACAGACGTGCATTGTTTTCATGCATTTAGGTTTAACGAGCAAATGCTGTATGATCAGAGATATAAATGAATTTGGAGTGTCACCAATATACCAAATACTCTGTAGATGCCAGCCAACGAATGCAGCTTTCAACTTCAATATTGCCATCACCTTTCAACAGCTCTATTTATCACCTTTCACCACCCCGCCCGCCGCCCCCCCCCCCCCCCCCACCCCACCCCACACACATACACACACAGAAGATTGCAGAAATCATGAACTTCAGGCTGCTTGCTGTGTTCAAAGTTATCCCTCAAGTTTTTGACACTTTCATGATTGAGGAATTGGCTGCCCCGTTCGCCCACAAATATACAGTCAATTCACTTTACAGTGTGTTCTGTGAAGCGCTTTGGGACGTCTTCCCGACGTGAAAAGCGCTATATCAAATGCAAGGATTATTATTATTATTATAATCTCATTGTTTTAGCTTCCTCACATAATGATAATCCTTATAGTTGATATAGCGCCTTTCATATTCTTGAGATGTCTCAAAATGTTTCACAGCATTTTACTGTAAAGTGTAGCGGCTGTGCTTGTAGGTGAATGTGTCAGGCAGGCAATTTGCACACAGCAATGTCCCTCAAGCAGGTGGACCCTAAATTTAACGTCCCATCTGAAAGATAGCACCTCCAATAATGCAGCACACCAACCAGCATTGATTGCATTGGCCTATCAATTTTGACTATATGAGATTAAAGTCCCGACTTGGGGCTTGAACCACAATCTTCTGACTCAGGTGAGCGTGTAACCTATTGAGCCAGGCTTACACACCAGCTGGACCAATCACCCTACAAAACACTAACAGCACATCTACAATTCTTGTCCAGGCAGCAGATTTATGGAAAGAGAACTGATTGATGGATGTCTATGAGGGAAGAGATTTATCCGTGAATTTCAGCATATGTTTTTCATTAACTCCACTCTCTATTCAGCAAATATAGTCTGTTAGGGACACCTGTTGTCACAGCTGCCCGCTGAGCCATTTCTGACCAGCATGATAACTGGTTGCTCTGGCAGCTCATGACAAATAATAATAAATAATCATCCTTGCATTTGATATAGCACTTTTCACGTCTTCTAGATGTCTCAAAGTACTTCACAGAATAGACTGTAAAGTGAATTGACTGTATATTTGTGGGCAAAATGCAGCAGCCAGTTGCACACAGCAGTGTCCCACAAACAGTCATGGATTGAAGTGACCAATTCTATTGTTGTTTTTTTTTAGGGATTATTATTAGGCGTGTGGAGTAAGGAAACTTGCCCAAGGTTTCGCCCTGCCAGGAATCGAACCCAGGTCTCTCACTTGCAAAGCGAGTGCTCTAATCACTGAGCTACAGGACTCCTTGAAAAAGAGAGGTATACAGCTAAAGGAAGCTGTGGATAGCAGTGTCTGGCTGCTGCTTTTTTAAAAAAATAGTGAATGCTCTGTTGCTTGGAGAGGGGAAAATGAACATACCTGCCTATCTTTCTACAATCCCACTTTAATCCCTCACACTGCTCGTTACAATCTTCCTCTGTTAACTAGATCTTATCTAATTATTCTCACACCCTCCATTATCCACAGACCATTTGTGGCAGGCCATTTAGCCCATCGTGTCTGTGCTGGCTCTTTTTAGGAGGAATCAATTCAGTTCCATTTACCTGACTTTCCCCATACCCCTGCAAATTACACCTTTTTAGATATCTATCCAGTACCCTTTTGAAAGCTGATATGCAATCCTGCCTCAATCTTGCATTTATATAGCATACTTTATATAGGATAACATCTCAGAGTGCTTCACAGTGGCAGAGTTGGACCTGAGTGAGGAGGAAGGGATGGTGGGGGTAAGGTGACCGCAGGTGTGGTCGAAGAGGTGGGTTTTAATGTGGCGGTAAGGCAGAGAGCTCTAGAGGTTGGGGCTTAATAACTAAAATAAAATAATAACCAAACTTTCTGAAGCACATTTCCCAGTAGTAGCTCTTCCTCTTTCAATGAATGACTTATGCTGGAGTACTCGCCAGTGACCACTAGTAACATTCCAAGTGGACATTCTTCACATGTAAGCCAATATCAAAATGCTTATCCTTTCTTTATCTGACTTCCACCCATGCATCCTTTTGGTTTTGCTGGATACTGCTCAAGAGAGGGAACCTTGCTTATTTTTCTTTCCTAAGACCAGAGACCCTGAAGCCAATCATAATATCTTTATTATTTCCAAGCTAAGCTAACTTAGCATAAACCTAGAATTAAAGGTGGGCTTTTGCAGTTCTTGTGGCAGAGATTCACACTGGGTGATGGCTTTAGCAAATGAACCTTATAAGATAGAAGGAAATGTAACTTTTCTTTAATAGGCTCTCAACTGAGGCTTTCTTTTCATGATGAAATTGTTTAATATGATGGGGTATCATGAATCAATTTTTCCATCAGTTTGCTGTGATGGATGTGATGAACCTGGATGTGTGTCTCCAAACCTGAAGAAGCAGTGACAGATTCTAACCGTGATCTCTGCCCATCTTCCTCATCAACCACTGATATTAATAAGGCTATGCTCGGATAAAGCAGAACCTAATAATAAACAGATACTAGGTGGCACTTAACTCTAACTTACTTTACATGTACTGACAGACTGACCTATACCTATTCTCTATATTTGTAGCAGAAAATGAATGTGTAGGATAGCATGTTCCTGGAATACTAAATTCTGTTAGCATCCGGTGCTCTGTGCAGTGTGTGTGTGGGGGTAGTGACACAGTAAGGATAGCTGTTGGCGTCAACAAACCACTTCCTCTGGTACTTACTCAAAACAAAAGCAGATACGAAAGTCCTCAGAAGTCCTGTTAGTCACAAGCAATCCACAGTGGGTTTGATGAATCTCTCTCATAGAACAGGATGAAGAGTAGAACTGGTGAGTTCACTTTTAACATTACTGTTCATTTATAAGCGTACATGCACGGTATCTGTAAGATGTTGTTTATACTAGTAGGAGGAGGAGGTGGTAAAAAAAATCTGTGAACTGGCATAAGTTGAAAGAAAAATCTGGAACAAGTTGCAAACTAACCTAACTGTAAATACAAAGATATTGAAACGATTGCCAGAATCAGCCCAATTCCAGTCTATGCATTCTGTTATTAGAGGTTAGTTTCTTGTGACCCCAAACAACTAAACATGAAACAAGAAGCTTATGAACTTTACAGATTGTTCAGGCAAGATTTTGCACTGCAGAATACACTGGTGTCCAAGGCTTGCTAAGTGTAGTGAATTTGCTGTTGATTATGTTTATATAACTAATTCAGTTATAGTAAGTAAGTAATCAATATATAGGTAATTTTCATATAAGTAATTCAGTTTAATAACTGAAATGGCAAAAAGTTACATAATAAGTAACTAATTCAATTATAGATATTAAACCATAATTCTGAAATTTTATCATATTATGTTGCAGCCATTTATGGCAGAATTCTTTAATAATAATCCTTGAATTTTAATATAGCACCTCATCACGTCTTCGCGCCGTCTCAAAGTGCTTCACAGAATAGACTATAAAGTGAATTGTCTCTATATTTTGTGGGCAAAACAATTCCTTGAAATAAGGAATCCAAGTCTCAGATGGGGAGTCCTTTTGGTAATCGGAATCATGTCACCCCTAACTGGAAGGATCTCCAGTCACAAACCCCTTCCTATGCAGAGTTGCAAGTTTCCTAGACATACTTCAGGTTACTAGAAAAAGTCTTTATGTGACTCGAAGTCCAAAATCCACTTGCTCTTGTAAGACCATTTTTTGCAGAATTGTTGAAATTTCTTAAATCTAGATTTAATTTTGAAGAAACATACATAATAATAATCCTTGCATTTGATAGAGCACCTTGTCATGTCGTTGAGATGTCTCAAAGCGCTTCACAGGATAGACTGCAAAGTGAAGTAACTTTATTCTCCTCTAGGTCATTTATAAATTGCATGAGAATCAGGAATCTCAAAACATTGCAGAACTCCAACACTCACTGCCCCAGAAAGTGTAATTTCCATTTATTATCACCTTTTCCTTTCTTTTGTTCAGACAAATTTCAGTCCAATTGGCTAATCTGCCATTTATTGTGTTAACTTTAACCAGGTGTTTATCCAAACTCTTCTTTTAAGGTTCCTTTTTTGGGAACCATGGGAAACAAACAGAGACCAAACTTAAGAATTTTCCACAATTCTATCCCAGTATATAGGTTTAAGACAAAATGACATTACAGACTAAATACTAAATGGGATGTGTGGCAACCAAAGCCTTTATCTAAATGGTAATCACCAAAATTTACACCTCAAAGGCGAACCAGCATCAGCAAACAGTGCAGACTAACCCAGTGCACACTTAGTTCCCTAAATTTAGAGAATGAAACTGAATAACCTCCCCCCACCACATTTGCTCTGATTACAATTTTACAGGAAGATGTATTTTTAATACATCTAAATATATCCTTCTTCTTTGAAATTCACTGCAATTCTGTTTTATCTATGATACTTTCAGATGTTTATAACATTGTTCCACAAATGGTATACAATACAAATTTACACTTCTACAATGCCTTTCACTTTAGGAGAACATCCCAAGTTGCCTAGGTACTGACATTCTATTTTTTTTTAAAAAATGACTTCTTATTTTAGAAGTTTCAAGAAACAACATGCAGAAGTAAAATATTAATGCATTACAGAGTAGAAGAATTGCATATTACTTCCCTGAAGTGGATATGAGATATCCACTTGTTACACTCACAGCTCAGTACAGTGCCTGACTGATCTGAAGGTTTCTATAAACTCTGTTGTGTTTCCAGGTACTTTTTAATGTATGGATGAAAGGAACAGTTGACTAACGTATCTAAAACTGCATAGCTTGTCATTGAAAGCACTTCTGCCAAGCTTCCCTGCTGCTTGTCCAGACTTCATTTGGAAGAAACATTCTCCTCTAGGTAATTTATACATTGTGTGAGCATCAGGAATCTTAGAACATTCTGGAACTTCACCACCCTTAGGGCTTTGGCTTGCAGGGTTAACGGGAGCTGAATGAACTGGTTTGCCCTTCCAAGTCCTGTCGATAAGCTAGACTGCCTTGGCTGTCATCAGCAGAGCTATGGAATACTGTGGACCCACCTGGCTCAGGAAATGGACTATCGAGACCGTCACAGAGGGTTGGCTCGATTCTGACATTCCATTGCCAAACATGTCACCTTGGAGCCAGTTCAGCTCTCAGGAGACCGTGATTAACCCCCCCCACACCGGAGGAAAACAATTAAGCAGTGCCTACTGACAAAGAATATGTATTAAATTTCCCCATTTCTGCTAGAGTACAAAATTAATATTTTTCATGACCTTGCAGTGGAATGAATGGAACCAGAGAAATAGGAGCAGTCCCTTGTGGCACATTGATATGATATAATTTGTTCAACAATGCACCAGTCTTACCAGGGTAAGGTGCTTAAAGGACTACAGGGAAGAAATTACACCTGCATCTGGATTTACTCTTGTTTCCTTAGCTTTTCAGAGTGCCTAGCTAGAATTTATCAAATCTTAAGTTGCCTTAAATTTGAAGCCAATTTTCTGTAAGTTATGTTAAGAGTTAGATAAAAATGATTTCAGGTTTAAGATTGAATTAAACTATTTGCCAAATTCTCTGAAAGGCTAAGAAAATTGACCAAGTGGAATTTCTTCCCCGTACATTGGTTGAGACTTGAAATAACCTAGTGGTGATACTATAACAGAGTTCATTGGCATATGGTCACAGGTTAATGTGCCAGAGTTGAATGTCACTCAAATTGTGTAACCAAATGATTGCTCTGACCAGTCTCACAGAATAGTTTGAGGAGGTGACATCCCACATTTTACTGTGGGGAAGCTTTATAACGACATCGAAAGCTTTATAACAGCAAAGTACCACATGAAAGATTCTTTCACAAAGCTAAGCGCTTTGGGACGTCCTCTCGACGTGAAAAGCGCTATATCAAATGCAAGGATTATTATTATTACGTCACTGGGTATCAAGGGCAAGACATAGACATGGATTTGAAATTGGCTGAAGAGAAAGAACCAGAGGGTAGTTGTTAGGAGAGCTAGGTCAAAATGAGGGAGGCATTCATTGGGATGGCTCAGGGTTTGTACTAGGGTTTCTCGTGTTGCTTGTATACAGACTGCGTGTAAGGTAGTTAAATTTGCAATGTCTCAAGTTGAGAGGAGCTGTGTAATCATAGGAGGTAGCAAAGGTCTTACAAAAAGAGCTTGATTAGGTATGTACATAAATGGATGACAGGCAAACAATGTTCAAACAAAGATTAATGCAATATATTGCCTATAGCAAGTAAAAACAGGAAGAATTTTGCATTTGATATAGTGCCTTATCACGTCTCAAGCCTACATATCTCCATGGATGGGATAGCACTTGCCAAATAGGGAGGCTGAAAGAGACCTAGGGGTGTTAGTTGACTCATCACTCACTATGTCAGAACAGTGTGAAGCAGCAATAAACACGACAAACAAGATACGGTCTATATTGCCAAATTGGATGAGTTTAAATCTCGAGAAGTCATGTTCAAGTGCATAGTGTTGTACTCAGGCTAAATTCTAGAGAACTGCATTATGAGTCTTGTTGCTTTGACGTAAGGGCGCTGCCCAGTACTAGAGGCAATGCCGACGAGAGCAACGAGGATGATCTCCAGTGTTAGCAGAATAAGCTGTGACCAATGGCAAGCTATGTTGTTTGAGCTGGTTAAACTCCCACAAAACACATGCTTTGGGGTTCCCAAGCTAGGGGAGTTGTTAAGAGAACTAGGTCAAACTGAGGGAGGCATTAATTGGGATTCGTCAGGGTTTGTACTAGGGTTGCTCATGTTCCTTGTATACAGCAAGATAGTTACATTTGCAGATGCCCCCAAGTAATACCAATATTTTGGCATACTGCGGACATACATGACTTAGCAACCGGTCTACTGAGATACCACAGAGAAGTCTCTGAGCTGGCTGCCACATCTAACCGGTGAAATTCTGACAGATTCAATTCTCTCACCCAGTATCCAGCCTTGTGATAATTAAATCTGTTTATGAAGCTTCATGTCCTCACTTGCCTTTCCCATAGCTGGACTGGGGTAATAATTGCCAAGGCATGATGGAAACTAGAAATATATTCTTGATTTTTAAGTACACATCAATGCAGTAGATAATTGGTGAAGGTTTTCAATTTCTTGTAAATGCAGCGTGTGAGGCCAACACTCAGTCTCCACTTCCTTGTTTGCATAAAAAAATGCTTGGATAGTTATAAAAATTAACTTGCACATTTGTTTTATGATACCGTAGCGTTTGACAAAATATAATCATTTCATGTTTAAAAGCTGATCCGTTTCTAGGATGTTGAGCCAAATTTAGGGGTTGGTGTAAGGCCAAAAGGGCTACTATTCCTTTGTTGGTAAGGTTACCAACTATAGGGTTTAAAAAATCCTTTCAGAAAAGAGCAGTGGAAATAAATGCTTTATGCTATACAAACAGATGATCTTGGGATGGACCTTAGGTCTTGCAAATCATTGTGATGTAAATGGTGTTCCTTGGGGAGAGACACTCTTAAGTCCTCAGGTATGTTTTCTGGCATTGAGGTACATTTATATTGCCATATTCCCCATGAAGCTAAAACTGCATGTCATCTATAACTGTGTGTCCATTCACCACTGGCCTTGGCAGTGTGCCCATAGATTTCTAAGTAGTTCACAAGCTTGATAAACTTGTGGACCAATGAAACAATTGAGAATAATATTCACTGGTTGACTGTAAGGACTGTAAATATACTAAGGGAATTGGCCCCATTTGGACAATTTTGGATGATTTTTTCCCAGTTTGGTTCATTGTAAATCCCCCACCCCCTTTAAGTGACTGTGGTTGATATAA